GTAAATTTTGCGGTGAAGTATTAGGTCGCAACGAAAGTAATGGCGGATTCGACCCTCAATTTCAAAAACTCGTATCTTTCTTTGAATTGAACTTTATTCCTAATAATAATTCCCACAAGCACTTACACCAGTCCGCCATCGGTCGACAAGGAAACAAATGCCTCTCCTTCAAAATTCGGCAGGCTTCGAGTCGAAGAAGTGCCCATGTCCGCTTTCAACTATTGAAAGTTGTCGTAGTTTTTATCCTTTGAGAAGTGAGCCAGGGAAAGGAGTGGGTGGTAATCCGTAGGCGCAAGACCTGGCGAATATGGAGGATGGGGTAAAACCGCAGATCCAAGTTCCGCCAATGTGTCCTGGGTTACCCTTGCAACATGGGGTCACGCGTTGTCATGAAGAAGAAAAACTTCGTCCATCTCAGGGCGAAGTTTCGCGACTTCAACTGCGAGCCTTCGTGGTTGTGAGCAGTACACCTCGGCGTCGACGATGGTATTGTCTGGCATCTCGTAATGACGTGTTCCCCGAACTCTCCACCAAACTGACAGAGGAACTTTCTTGGGATGAACCTCCTGCTTTGGAACAGGCTCTGGCTTCTGGTTCGCACCCATTCACTGTCTTCTTCTGGTATGACATAGGTAGAGCCCCCACCTTTCATCTCCAGTAATTACATTATCCAACCAGTCGAAACGGCGACTCCTTGCAAGAAAACCTCCGCACACCCCGATACCTCTTTTCTTGCAATGCTCTGTCAGCTCATGAGGGATCAATCGACCAAGTTTCTCAACTTTTTCCAGCATGTGATGAACACGACCTGTGGCCATGTTGAAGCAGTGCATCTCCTTTGCCAGCTCCATGGCGCTTGCATGCGGAAAGTCTTGAAGTAACAGCTCCAAACGTTCGAAATTAACTTTCGTTGGGCGTCCATCTTCGAGGTTGTAGTTTCCTTCGCGGAGCCTTCTGAACCAAAGTTGGCAGGTTTTTTCACTTACCACTCCCCCTACTTCCACAGAGCATATTTTGCGGCAGGCTTCGCTCGCTGTGTGTCCCATACAAAATTCGCAAAGAAGTCAGTGGCGTACATGGGTAGAAACTTATGGCATTTTCCAGGCTCCAAAAGGCCTGCAGGAGGTGAGACTCGGAAATATGAAGGGATGTTACCATTCCTGTATATGGTTAAAAAATTTCCCCTCCAGGTTAATGCGCAGCCGTTTGTCAGGACTTTGAAGAAATCCGCCAGGACTTTCGTTGCGACCTAATATTTTTGGAATGGCGAGTCGGGCATGAATGACGGAAGAGTTAGATCGTAAAAAACCGAAACGGACGGCAATCGAACGCCTCCGGGCTCATATTCTACACGATTTTGCAGTAATTTCGACAGTATTTGCGGCCCCGTGAAGGCCTTTCCAAAATTGGCAGGGCGAGGCCCTTGGATAACTCACCAGGTGTTACTGGTACGCGACCGCCCGCCTCAGGCGCTCCCGGGTAGCAACCAGGACGGATGTCTCTTTGAAGGTGGCCGCGGAGGCGCACGTTATTGGTTATTGATGTGTGGGCACGGGGCCGCTCTGATGAGCGGTGCACCCAGCACAGCTCGGCCTGTCCCTGGATGTGTTAGGCGCACGACACGCACGACGGCGAGCGAGGGCGCTCTGGCAATCGCGTCGTACACCTCGCGGGCTTGCCAGGTGTGTTTGACATTCGAGTCGCGTCCTGCTGGTCGCAGTAGCATCGGATTCGATTGGCGAATGATTCAGTAATGATTTGCGTCAAGTGTAACGCAATGTAGTCTAGCTCTAATGTCATAAAACGAAAAAAAAAAAAAAAAAACGTAAAAAAAGAAAAAAGGAAAAACATGTACCACTACCTAACAAATGATGGGAACTGGCTCGGATCTGCCTGGCGCAAATGTTTTGTCATAGTTGCGCATCCTCGTGGTAATTTCTTACAAAGTCCGTTTCCAAATTGTTCTTTATTTTATAAGTACGTGCCAATGCATAAACTTACCAGCTTTGTTCGCGGCAAAGTTGTAATGTCCTAGAACGATATTTTTTGGGGATGCGCCATGTATCCTTCTTCCATTGAGAATTGTACTGGCGTTCGATTGCAGGTCTACCAATGTCTTGCGGGACAACGAAGTGTTATTTAAGTCAGCCACGAAGGAAGCGCTTTTATCCTTTTGGCCGGTACCAAATAACCGATCACGGAGGGATGGAAGGCATGGTTGGCCTGGACGCGATCAGGTTTTGATTCCCAAACCGTACGTGTGGTAAGCAGCGCCGCTTGCCATTACACCACTGTCGCCCCATAACCAACACCCACATCGAGTAATGACAAACGAAGGTTTTTGAGAAAGATAAATACTCCTGAAATTTTCTCAGAGGTCAGGGAAATTCTCCTGCTCATCAAAATCCGACTGTTTAGTAGACGGTTACTACAGAAATGATAGCAATCATTCAATTTCTGCTTCTAAATTGCACTCTAAAGGAGCAGGGTAAAGCCTGAACAGAAGACAGTAAACAAGGCTAGGATATGACGACATATTGGCAACAAGGTGGATGATTAGATTGTAACTGAGGTTTTTGGTGAGCGTCCTTGGCATAAGAGCCGTTACGGGACTCGTCTCAATACGCCCATAACGCGAACTAAATGTTCGGTGACCTCATTAAAACTCTACCGTCCTCTAGCCATCGTGCTTAGTGCTTGAAGGCTTTCTAGATACTGTCGAGCCTTCTATGCTTTTATATGAATAGTGTTAGGCCCCTAATTCTTGGCAAACGTCCGCTCCAGAAGACAACAACAGCATTACAACGGAGAAATGCTGAACGACTCAAGGAAATGGTAAGAGTCTTCAACAGAGACTTTTTAGGATGTTTGAAATCACGTGAATTTGGCATGGGTCGTTGATTCGAACTCCTACCTATCTCCGCCACTAGCACGAATGTTGCCGTAGGAATCATCAGCTTTCACTGCTGTGCCAACAGTCAGGCTTCCACTCGGATTGGGAAGGGACAAAGCGGTAATCCGTTATTTTCATTGACACTTTTGTTTCTTTCTTTTTTTATTTTGTTATTATGATACTTCTCTGCCTGTTCTTTCCTTTCTTACTCACGTTTTTTGATTGTTGCAGTTAATAGTGTTGTGAGCAACAATTCGACCATTGTATGGTGGAAGCATTGTTATCGTACATATAGAATTGATAGTGGGTTGACCAGTGTGAGCTCACCTTATCGTTAGTTCACGCGGGTGCCAACGACGTTGAATGGAACAACAGGGCCAGTTTTTCTTTCCAGCGTAGCCCACGGGAAGGGCGCTCCTAGAGCCAGCCACGAGTTTGGCATTTAAGGCCGTGGGCCGCACTTATTATTTCACAAGACGATTTCTCATGTTAAGCGGGACAGGGTAAGCATAAACAGAGTACGATTTCCATGAGGTTCAGCTCTGGGAATGCAAAAAAAATAACTAAAGCCATCCTTTAAGAGGTTTTCGGTCCCAATGAAGCTATTTTGAGCGGTTTATTGCCTTGGTCCTTGCAATTTCTTGCACCTAATGTGTAATAATTTGCTAGAAAAAATTATTAATGAATATGGGTGAAACTCCAGTTCGGGGGGGGGGCACTCCATTTTTTCTCCAATACTCAAGATAAGGATTAGAGGGCTCACGACACGTAATCGACTCATTTAAAGTAGACTTCTGATAAATATTGGTGTAATGGGTGAGAAACCCTGAAACGTTTTCACATTTCCGCCTGCCATGACCCAAGGGAACGGTCCTGGACCAGGAGAAAGGACCTCCTCCACAAGGGCTAAGGGTGCAGGAGCTCCAGGGTGGATCACCTGTGCAGAAAAGTGGATGGGATGTGGGCAGGTAGTGTGGAATGTAGGACATCCACCGGTCCTTATCAAAAGTACGCTCGAAATGAGTCGTTCACTTATTATCTTATCCGTAGTGTTCGATAGCCCAAAGAACTGCTCTCTAGTACTACGGATAAGATAGCAATGGAGTGCCCCCCGAACTGGAGTTTCACCTACTATGCAACTATAAATGCTTGGGTATGCTGACCAGCGCCATATTAAATGTAAAGTTTCTTTTCTGCATTTTCATGGCGATTTGTATGTTTATGGCAATCCTAGAGTCGCTCTAGAAAAACTTGTGCTCCGCGCACATGCCCTTATGACATGTAAAAAAGTTCAAAAAACGCTTTACATCCTGAACGATTTTGGGCTGGCGCTGCTTCGATCTATTTTCCCGTTTGGGGCGGCTCGACAGGCTAGGAGGTTTACTTGGGAAGCGTTTGTGGAATTTTTTAGTCAGCATCAACAGCTTACGGCTGGTCAGCCGTCCATGCCAAGAGTGGTCTTATGGTTCGTGAGCAAAAAGAATGTCTACTGTGAGACAATTCAGATGATCTGGTGATAATTTCAATATCGAAGATCAAATTCAGGAGGTTCGTGCTGCACTCGAATCAATCCAGTATCGCGGTGGCTCCACGTTGACAGCACAGGCGGTGGATCTCAGCGTCGATGACCTTCTTCGTGGTCGACGGCCTAACGCCATACAGGTTTGCTTTTATTTGTAGCTCTCCCCCTCTAGCATTTTGAAAATCATGTTGTATTTACTTCCGACGTTTTGAAAAGTAGCTCGGGGGTTAGTTACAGTTTATAGCAGGAATCTGGTCCAATTATCCTTTTGAGAAATTGGCCAGGTCCAGTGGAAATTATGTTGAAAGAATGAGGTTACTCAGCGTTCTATTGCAAGAGAAAGTAAGAAAACACATTGGCGGTATTTCCGCCTTATTTTTTCTCTTTTCCCTGTACGATCATTGCAAAGGAAAAAAATGTTGCCAAAGTAGCGGTACTGTGCTTATTGATCGTCAGCAAAACAGGCCAACTTCCCATTCATTACGTCTTACAAGACCGCTCATCTCGTCGCACTTTAAAGTCAGCTTTACTAAAGACGTGCCCTGCGTCAGGTAGAGGGTGCCTGAAAATGTCGACAAAACAATTTCAAGTTGTGTTATCAATTAATTTAACTAAGGGGGTCGGTGTTGATGAATGATGGTTTCTCGCAAGATGCATGGGATCGTGTGCTCTCGGCCAGCGAACGCCTTACTTCCGTGAAAGCAGAACTATTTGGAGTAGCGCTCGGGAGTGAAGTAAGCTAATTTTTATTAATTCTATTTGTCTGTTTACAGAAAAAAAACAACAACAATGGATTTGTCCTTAACGCTAATTCTTTTTTGTCTTAAAAAGGGGCACCTACCGAGTCACTTTTTTGGGAGAGTAAGGAAAAATATGCGGTGAAAAGAGAGAGAGGTCTTCACCCAGTGGCAAAAGAGGGTATGGAGGATCGAGAAAGTTGGAAAGGGATCCGCGTCATCAATGATAGAAAATATTTGAGGTTTACCTTGTGCTCGTTAGGCAGGTCAACGTCACGTTAAAAAAAAACCTCGTAGGAAGGCGCGACATATATTTCCTGCAAGGTGCTTATCCAACCCCCCTGGCAGTCACAAGCAAAGCCTCCGCTCTTTTGAATTGTCCGCGCTGGTTTGACCTTGCTTGCCTTAGAGGGGTGCTTTGAAGGCTGACTATACTTTTGACTTTTATTTGAACAGCGCAGATGTCATTTGTTCTGGAGCGTTACTACGAAGTATCTCTTACTTCAGATGGGGATTCTGCGCTTTTTAAGATATGTGGCATGTGATGAGTGGATCTATATCTATCGTTAATTATAATCTAATAAATTTGGAATGTCGAGTAAACGTGGCGGTCGTTAGGCGACAAACCGAGAAGTCGTTTCGTCTCTTTTCCGTTCAGGCAAACAATCATGACTAGGTCAATTATTCATGGGTAAGATGGCAGCAGTTCATTGAGTATCACCCATGTCATTGTTCTTTTGTCTTTCGCGGCTCGAAAATGGCGGCCTGGCGAGCGCCTCACCAAGTGAGCTATGATGGATAGTGTGAGCTCGACATGGAGAGATACCCACGCATGCTCCATGACACGTAACGGATCACAGCGCAACGGCTAATTCAAGTACGCGCGGGCTGGGGAAGCATAGAGCAAGCAAATCTGGACAACTCATCCAACACGTCCCTCCCTCATCTCAAGAGAGGAAGAAGAAGTCCTTGTTTGAGGGATCGTATCGACAACCTGCTTAGCTTCTCTTTGCGTACTTCAATCAAAATCTCTGCATCCACAATTCGTTATCTACACTGTTGCCTCACAATTGATGTGGAGATGTTCAGCTTCCACTAAACAATAGAAAAGCTTTTCGAGGTTTCCTCTTTTACCACACGGAACCATCCACGAGTGAATCGATGTGTGTTATTGTGCCCGGAAATGGAATTGGTTTGTCGGGAGTTGTTCATCCGGTAATCGCAATACAAGCAAAAACACTAGGACTCTCAAATCTCTATTACGCCGGCCGACATGATATGGGGACGTGCTTTGGCCCCGCCCTGCACGAATGGCCTATTGGCTTTGACTACATCTCTCCATTCTTCATTTACTGTGTTTTAGTTAAATGAGATCACGGCTGGACAGATGCAGCATCCGCGCAGATGCGGTGGGCAAAACTACCGCCCATGGCGACAGGCGACGATATGTCTCTTCGTTTCATCTACTGCACTAATTCCCTGCCTTACATTCATTTCAAACAAAATAGCCAGTCGCACTATTGAGAGACGGATGTGCCTTTAAATTGCTTCTATTTTCAGTATGACCCGCGAGAGCTGGAACGCTATATTGGCCGTAACGATCGGATCTATAGGGATGGCTCGACAGAGAAGTGAGTCGTGGTTTTGGCGCAGTAGGTCGTCGTAGTATCTTGTAGGAAATACAAGCAATTGCTTTCCCTGAATTTGTCTTCAGTCCTCTGGACTGCTATGAGCATACTCTGAATGTAACTACTCTACTGTGAAGTTTCAAATGCGTAAAAGCGCCTGAGACATGCCCCTATCTCTGTTATCACCTGGCACTCTTATTTTGTCCATGATATTTGGGAGAATCCAATGTTCAAGTTCGCATTTCTTCAATTTTTCCTTCGATACTCGTTGCTCTTTTGAGGCCATCATAAGTCAGTGGATAAAAAAACATTACACTTTTCGCATTATGCGGGATCAAGTGGAAATTTTTGTTTTCAAGGAATCTCAGAAATCAGGCGCCATCACGAATTTGGTAGGGTTTCTTTAACGCGATGTTGTTCTCGCTGCCGTCAAGTGGAAAGGTACTGGTCCTTGAGTCGGAAGCTCATAGAGAGGTACGCGGCTCCCGTCAATCCCCTGCTGTTGCTTACTTTTTGGAGCTAATGCCTGCTTGATTCAGAGCCATAATCCACAACGTCAGTCGGACGAGTGTGCCGGCCCAGGTTTGGAATTGGTCGTCATTTTCGATAACACGAGAAGAATATTCGCAGGCGTGACTCTTCAATCAATGCTAATCGATATCTTCTATTAGATGTGCTTGGTAAGGACATTTTTATATTTTCTCGCTCTTAAGGGACTTATGGTTAGGACTATCCTGTCAAAACTCGTTTTGCATTACGATTTTGTGCTTTGCCTTGCTGATCAGACGGCACATTCAGTGCATTGAATGAGCGAGTGGATCGTTGCGTTGCAATGAATGTTCCAACTTCTAGTAATTCGTAATCAATAATGAAAATAAGGATAAAAAGGAAGGATAAAGCATTTGCCGTTGATCAATCCCTTTTTGGGATGCGGCACGCATTCTACTTCCATTTGTACATTCGTAGTGGCGTTTGAATGCGATGTGGCCTATACAATGACTTGCGGGGGCCAGCCGATGTAAGTCAGTGTTTTTATCCTCCCAGACAAGTCTGGTACCAATTAACCGACCCCGGAGGGATGGAAGGCTTGGTTGGCCCGGGCGACACGACCCAGGATTTGATCCCCGGACCGCTCGCGTGGTGAGCGTGCCACTTGCCACTACACCACTTCCGCCCAGTTATATGAGTAGTGCGAAAGAACTGCTAAGAATCTTCATTAAATCACTCTCCCGGGCTGGGGGTGGAGGGCGGTGTTGGCCGCACCTGGAATCTCATCGGTTAGCCTGCTTTGAACGCTCAGGACCACAGCAATGTGATGGTAAACCAGGTGTGGGCGATCGCGTGTGCGGGCGCAAAACTCCGCCCATATGATTAGTCCGCAGTGTAGTTCTAAGATATTCTCAACGATTTTTGTGCTTTCTTTCGTACTAATGAAGCAATCACCGCAGCACCACACTTACTTTTCTCCGGTACCGTAAGCCATACCAAATAAATCTTCGAACGTGGCTTCCGAGCCTTCACTGTATTTGAAAACTCATACCAGGCACTAAGGGGCTAGAGGTCGACTGTGGGAAATTCAGATGTCTCCTGTATTGAGAATTTGATTTTACAATATGGAACTGTTTAGGCTCTTTGAAATCTGGAGCCCGCGTTCGTGTTTCGGTGATCTCATTCGGGGACACTCCGAAGGTCACTTTGGATTTCACAGACATCTCCGAGAGGGATAAAATCTTTGCTCAGGTAAGCTGGTTACTCAGCCTGGTCAAGTGAACACTATTCTTTTGCCAAGACGGAGTTGTTTGATGGAGTCGCCATTGCATGGCCTCAAGTTTTGACATTCTCGTCTCTTTTCGAGCAGAAGATTCCACCGATCGTGCGCGGCATAAGTTAAGGGCCTTGTGTTAGAGATGGAATGGCGTTAAAATGCTTTCGAAACAGAAGGCAGCGACGCAAACTCCATCCAACCTCATCTGTTTGGCAGAAGAATCCGCCGAATGTATCGGCACATAGTGGCGAGGATTTCTGCAAAGCGCCGCATGGAGTCTGGAAAGTACAGCTTCAGCCAGCTGTTTTGCCGACGGCGATGAAATTTTTAAACAGTTATTGGAAAAATCTCTTTTCCAGATCGAAGCCATCAAAACAGTCTCCGCACAACCGTCATACTCTGATGCTGTATCGTTAGCACTTGCAAAAATACTTAACGAAGGCCGGTGAGGGTTTTTCCAAAAGTTATTCATTTACTCGAAAATGTCCTCTTTTCTTGGAGCCAATCTCCCTCAACCGTCGCAGGGTTCAATAGGCTGTTGTGATGTCGCAAGTCATTCCAATCTATTGGTTTTTATGCCTTCGAGTGGTCCTGAATTTGATTTGGAGAGAATATTGGGAAGCGTCCCAACTCTCAGTCAACATAACAACCCCTAGCAAAAGACTTTCATTTTGCGCATTATTACTCCCAAACAGAGAGAAACCGCTCTACTTCTGATCGATTCGGAGGCAGACAGTGGAAACTTTTTTGGATACGATGTGCCTCGAAGCGGGGGAGGCGCTGACTGTCTAAAGGGGTGGCAAAAATAGTGACACTGCCCATGACGCACATCATCAAACGTTCCGTCGCACAGGACGCCGCTAGTGGTAGTCCTCACCGTTCTCAAAATATGACGTCATCTTCCATCACCGTTGAGCTCAAGAAGGCCTACCGTAATCGTTCCAGCCTGAAGCTGCTACGAAATTTTTTCAATCGGTTCACTGACAGATTGCTTCCTTGGAGTAGTAGCTCTAAATATGCAATACCCAGCGCTTCAGATAACGTCGTAATGGTCCATGATCCGTCAAGGACCAGTTGAGCTCGAAGAGTGCACAAGGTTTTCATGGAAAATTCTTATGTAAAGTGAATTGTGTTCTTCAATGCTAAGTTGGGTGCAGTCGACTTGAGTTTAGGAAAGTGTGATTAATGCTGTCTAAATGGGGAGTGAAGTGTCCTTTTTTGGCCACCCCTGTATATATTCCGTCAGTGTTACGGTGCCCTTTATTCTCAAGGTAGGAGCCTAGAAGGAGGTAGAGCGACTACAAGATAATGAAAACGACCCACTCACCCACCTCGCAGCATCCTCCGTTATCATGCAGGTATCAAGCTTTAGTGCAGGATTAGAAGGAGGTTCTCAGCAATTCCTACAGTGCCATATCTAAGTGGGAACACGTGCAACTTACACTCTGGTGTTTGTGAGCAGGGACGAAGAGACGTCATTTGTGTAGAAGACGACCGAGGCGCGACAAAATGCTGCGTCGTAATTCAGCGCTTGACTGATGCCTTGAGACCAGGATCGCCGTAAATTTGGCGCAATATGAAAGACTGCCTCCTCTCATGACACGGGCGACAAACTTTTGTTCATGTGAATGAGATTTCACTTTTTTCTGTTTTCGTGAAGTTTGAGTGTCAACTCAGCGACCTTTGGAGCGTACAATTTTCATGGATGAGATCTGAAGGAGCCTACTAGTATGTTGAACAGAATATAACGGCTCAGAGCCGATTATAGGCCGTCCAACTTTGAAAAGCGATAAGAGTTTGCTGTAGGGAGGGTGGCTGTGGCGAGACCTTGTCCATTTACTGCTTTAAAACCTTTCAACGTGGCCATATCTATGTCTGATTTAACCCTCCGGGCGAGCTCTCAACTCGTGCCTATCTCACTTCGGTTTTATAAAATTCTTCCACCAGTGCCAGCCGCATTTCAGCCCGGATGCGCGAGCTGGTTTGGTGATTCTCGGAAATGGCAACAGCAAGGACTCAGAAGCGTCGAAAATCGCTGCTGCTTCTCAAATTCGAAAGGTTAGATTGACATCATGCTTCAGAAGCCATCTTCTCTTCAGTGGTGCCCAGTAAGCGAGAGGTGCGGGTCGAGTCGCGCCTGGGGCAAAAGTTTTCTCATAACTCAGCATTCTTGAACTTTCAAATAATATACCTTTTGCGAACCTTTGGAGTTTCAAAGTTTGATTTTTAATGCTTGACATTTTTCCAATTTGTTTCTGATCTGCGATACTTAGGAAGTTGTTAACATCAACTACGTTGAAACTGGAGTGGATGCCCCTGACTATCTCTTTTACCTTCGAATCAATGCTTTCATTAGCAGTTGT